ATTATTAATGTTACAGAAAAGAGTAAGAGGAGAATGGGGTAAAGATTTCCAGCATTCCACTCACTGTTGGGGATACCTCAGTGAATGGCTCACAGCCTAGTGTGGGAGGCAGATACTAAACACACTGAATAATCTAAGTCCAAAAAATTCTTGTGTTTCACCCAATCATAACGTAGAAATAGGAACAGTAACCAGTACAGCAGTCATCAGATCTTAGCCTGGGATCCCCAGAAAGCAGAAGTTTATGTGCTACTGCTTTCCTGAGGGTGCACCCAGGGAAGCAGGAGCGAGAGAAAATGGGAGTGAGGCAGGGAGAGAGACTCGGCATCGACTTAGCAACCGCTTAGCATCAGGGGCAGCTGAACGCTTCATCTCCAAGGCCCCTTTCTGAGAGTCCATAGAGACACCTGCATCTCAAGACCTTCTTGCAGAGGGAGGAAAGGATGAGAATTTTCCACTGGTTTTTGTTTCCCACAGTCAAAGGTTAGCCAGGAGACATAAAGCATCTCCCAACCTCACTCCTGCCCACACTTGTGATTTGCACTATGTGAGTACCAACAAGCTCTGCAGCAAGCAGCAAACTGTGTGCGTGAAACTGGCTGGAGCCCAGCAGAACTGGTCCCTGCGGGGGTGGCTGAGATGAAACAGGTGGCCTTGGCCCCAGAGACAGGGGCGACAGAGAGGATCTGAGATGGCACGTAGGAGATGTTGTATACAACTTGCATAAGGACAAAGGTCAGTAGCAAGTACAGCTGTCAGAAAAATGAGACAAAGATGTCACTGGATCATTCAGACAGAGTTTCAAAACTGTCAGTACAGTCAGGATATATGGCAGTGAGACTCGGAGCATTTTCTAAAATAGACAGAGGGGAAGATTCTGGCATAAAGATTTTACCAAGGAGTCCACAGTTGTAGATGAGAATGTGTGAATGAGTGAGGGTCATATCAGACCTTCTAGAACCATGAATGTCTCCCTTCAGGCCACACAGTCTATTGATTAATCTATCCAATGATCTATCATTCCCCCAACCATCTATCCACCTACCCCCTTACCTATCGATCTAGTCATTTATCCACCCATCCACCCACCCATTGATCTACCCATCTACCTGCCCATCCATGCCTGGAGCAACTGTATACATGCCCAAGACCACCTCACCTGCGTCAGGTACACCTCACCAATCTCAGAGTTTTACAGTGTAAAAATATGATCACAGGCCATTCCAACAGAAATGAACTCAGCCACCACCCTCAGACTTTCAGGGTGAGTACAGACCAATTCTAGAGCACTCTTGAGTTCAGGGCTGGGAACCAGAATAGGGGTCATTTCTCAGATGTCTCTGGGAGTCATGCTAACAAGTCCTCTGACCTACACAGTAGAGTATATCCTGCACAATTTTAAATCAGTGTGGAAGTTTGAGGTTCAAGATCCCATCTTCCTTCCTCTCCTCCAGGTTTCTGACGGAGGGAGTATATTTAAGGATGGGAAACGATGTGCCAGTTTGTGTATTAATACCTGGACAAGGGTGTAGGAGCTGTAGTGGGGAAGGCAGCTGAGGTCAGAGGTTGAAGTAAGGCCCATAGTGTCTGACTTCTGAATCTAAGAGTTCACTTCTCCCGAAGACCCTTGGATGAGGAGCTGGAATCAAGAGAGACAATGACGAGCTGGCCTTGTCACCCAGTTACAGACAAGTTGCCTTTCAAATCTGGGCCCTGTTCACCAATGAAATGTGGCCCCAGATTTGACCAATCAGACTGGCCTCCCGCTCCCATGGGGAGGAGCAGATATAGGATGCCAGTGAGGTGGGGACCGAAGTGTTCCCTCACCTCTGCAGTGGTGCGGCGGGGGGAACTTGGGCGGTGGCTCTCTCCTCTCCATGGGCAGAGGGGAAAATGAGGAGAATGGAAGGGACCCCAGCAGCAGTAAGAGCACTGACAGAGGCAGACACAGGGGCTGTGAATGGGCACAGAAGCCCTAAGCCACTCTGATAGCAGTCGTGGAGGGCTCCCTGGAAGGGGAGATATCTGACCTGCATCCAAGCACTTGCCAGAAGGGAAGAGAAGCAAGGCGTTCCCAACAGAGGGGACAGCATGATGAAAGGCGTTTGGGGTAATTCAAGGTTTCAGAGGCATCGGAGTGAGGCGGTTTGAGGCAAGAGAATTACGAGGCAAGGGCCAGGTCCTGAAGGGGCTTGTAGCCCACTCTGTATGCTGTGAGAACGGAAGGCTGAGAAATGTTAATAAAAATCCATCTTCAACATTTTATGGGGCTTAATCAGAAGACCCTTGTAAGAATTAAGCGCGCATGATCCGGGAACCACGCAGCTTCAGCTCTACGCCTCCCCTGACACATCTTGCTGTTCCTGCCCTTCCACACTGGAGAGGGGGTGCGTGGGGGGCTTCCAGCCCTGAGGGCAGAGCCGGTGGGGGGAGGGGCCGCGGAAGCAGCCCTGAAGTCCGCAGGGGCAGGGACCAGCCACTTGAGGTGCAGGGAGCCCCCACTGCGTGCGGTGCCAAGCCGCAGCCACACGGGTAGCGGGTGAGCGTGGGCGGCCAGGGCGGGAGGAAGGCGGGGTTAAGAACAGAAGGAACAGCGTGCTCCTCGTAGCGCGGCGGTAACAACGACCACGCATTTGGTGGCTGAGAACAACACAGATGTGTTCTCTTACGTAAAGTCGGGAGGCTGGCGGTCTGCAATGGCTCTCCTGGGCTGAACTCAAGGCATCGGCAGGGCTGTGTTCCTTCGGGGGATCAAGAGGAGAGTATTTATCCTTGCTTCTTCCCGCTGCTAGAGGCTGCCTGCAGGCCTGGGTGGTGGGCTGGTCCATCTTCAGCCATCACCTGTACTCTGGCCTCTGCTTCTGTCACTGCGCCTTCTCCAACTCCGCTGTCTGCTTCTTCCACCTCTAAAGACCTGTGGGATGACATTGGGCCCCCTGGATAATCCTGCACGTTCTCCCCATCTCTCTCCATCCGCAAAGCTCCTTTGGCCATATAAGAAACCAGTCATAGGTTCGGGGCCATCCGTGGGGGCCGGGGAGCTGGGGCGATGGGGGAGGTGCGCAGGGGACCAGCCGAGGCACGGCGACAGAGCGCGCGGATACCGCCCCACGACAGGCTGCTGAGTTCAACTCACACGTGCTGAGGAGACGTGGAGGGAGGAAGACGTCCAGGGGACTTCTTGGGGAAGCGGGTTTTGAACCCGGTTGGGCAGAGGATATGGAAAGCTTGTGAACCAACAGAAAGAGGTTCGAAGACAAATGAGACAGAAGGAGCAAAGCAAGAGGACGCAGGTCTCGCCTTCAGCCCGACGACTCTTCTTCCTTCCTTTGCCTTTTAAGCGGACTCATTTGGAGGGAGTTTGGTGTAGTTGCAAATTCATGGGGATTCAGAGAAGCGCGCCTCGGTTTGAATCCTGGCTCTACCACCTGCTAGCTCTGTGACCTCAGGCAGGCTTCTTAACCTCTCCGATCTTTGACTTCCTTCTCTGTGGAATGGGAATTCTAATTCCTGCCTGCCTCCAAGTGGCATTGTGGGTACAACTAAGATGAGATGCGCACTGTTTTGGAGGAAGTGAGGGTGGAGGAGGTGTCCTAGAAATGTTCTACCACCCCTGCTGGTGCCCCGTCACTCGCCGTGGGGGACACAGAAAGGAAGCAAAAACCTACCAGTCATTGCAGTGATTCTTGGCACCGGCGAGCCCCACATTTCGGAGCAGAGTGGAGTCCTACTGCTTCGGCGGGCCACACTGGATCTTGTCAGCCACAGACAGAGTGGGACACTGTCACCGGCCAGCCAGGAAACCTGCTCATGTGCAAGAGCGAGGAGAACCAGCAGAGTCGCCTCCCGCCATTTCAATTCTGCCTCTTCCCCAACAGCCCCTCAGTTTATCAGATTCTTTGGCCACATTCCTACACCACTTCTCCTCTCAGGCTTCTCCCTTCCCTTCCCAGAGCGTTGGGAATTTTTCTTAAACATCAAAACCCATCAAAAACTCACTCTCCAGTTCTTTTGAACCAGGGCTTATGCTAGAGCAAATAACCCACTTTCTTGCTAGGTCTTATCCCCTCAGTGTCCACATAGAGCCCAAGAAGAGAGGCTCAGATATGGTGGTTACATGGGTGCGTGTATGTGGGGGTTCTGTACTGTTTGCCCTTCTCCGCAGATAGGGGAATGCAGAAGTCTGTACTCACCACACATTGCTCAGCATCCCTGCATCTGCGAGATGTGCCTGGGCTCCTTGGAGGGAGCTCATAAGCAGAAATAGAGACCAGTTGGTCAGTTTGAGGCAGTGAGTGGAGGCGTAAGCCCCAGGCTCTTGTCAAGGTACTCTTCTTGGGGAGAAGGTCCCATTCAAGTAAAAGGCAAAGCAGATGGCAAGAAAGGCCCACCAGCATCAGGGGGTCCCCTGTTGGCTGTGCTCCTGGGCAGGGAGCCCACCTTGCAGCATCAAGGCTGGTGCCCTTTCTCTGTTCCCTCGTCTGATGGACTGGGAGTGAGTGGAGGATGGATAGCAGTCGACTCCTCCCTACCATTCACTGAGGTGAGGGTGGCCACAGCCTCCTTCTAAAAGAGGCCGAAGCAGTTCTATACATGGGAGTCTGTAATGGAGAGCCTGGGCTTTTTTCCCGATTTTGTTGTTTGTTTAAAAAGGCAAGTGTGTGTGTGTGTGTGTGTGTCTGTCTGTCTGTCTGTCTGTTGGTCCGCCTGTGTCTGTGTGTACGTGCACTTTCCTGACTATCTGTTAGAGAAGGCACTATGTAAAAGAAGCTGGACTCACCAAATGTGAAGCCTGGCTTAAAATAGGGACCATGTGGCCCACATCAGATTCACTTTGGGAAGCCTTGAGGGTGAGTAGCATTTCAAAGCATTAGCAGCCCCCTCCCAGCAGCCAGCAAGAGGGCTTGATGAACACTGATCTTTGTGATGTGACATGCAGCATATGCGATAAGAGGCTGAAGATGGAGAGAACAGCCCTGCTTTCAAATATGAACCCCAACTTGACAGTCACAAGGGCAGATGCTCCAAATGGCAGTGTCAGTTTCTTTTTTTTTTATTCTTATGTTAATCACCACACATTACACCATTAGTTTTTGATGTAGTGCTCCATGATTCATTGTTTGTGCATAACACCCAGTGCTCCATACAGAACGTGCCCTCCTCAATACCCATCACCAGGCTACCCCATCCTCCCACCCCGGCAGTGTCAGTTTCTAACTGAGCTGCTTGTCAGGTGGGTTATTCTGTGTAACTGTGTGTGTACTAGTCAGGCTAGATTTGCTGCTGCAACAAGCAGCCCCCAGATCTCATTGACTTGGCACTGTAGACATTTATTTCTGGCTCATGTTCCAGAGTCTGATGCAAATCAGAAGGGGGTGGGAGTCCTCCTCCTCACTGTCATTCAGGGACTGAGGCTCCTTCTGTTTAGTAGCTGAACATTATCTAGGCAGGCAGAGTCTTCCCCTTGAATTCTCAACATCCAGCTGGCAGGTGGAAAAAAGGGACATGTGGACGGGGCCCTAGAAGTTTTAGGGCCCAGGGCTAAACGGGCTCATATCACTTCCTCCTGTGTTCCATTGGCCAGAACTAGACATATAGACTGTCTAAATGAAAGACTGGCTGGGAAATACAGAGCAGCTGTGGGTTCAGGAAGAAGAGGAACCAGGTTTGGTGGGCCTCTGGTCACTCTCTACCACTCTCCGCCACCGTGCTCAGGATGAGAACAGCTGTGATGAGCAACTTAGTGACGGCAAATTTGAGTGCATCTCCTAATCTGTTCTGTGTCGGTTCGCCACACTTAATCCAATGATTCTGCCATTCCTTAATTGTGTGTAGAATTCCATTTTCCATATTCTCTTCAGAGCCTTTGAATACGCTAATGAAAGGCAAATTTGTATCCCTTGAAAGTTCATTTGATTTCTGGAAGCATCCAAAATAACTAGGAACCCAATCTGGGGATAAGGGGGACAATTCAGCTACGTTTTCTTCTTTGGGTCAAAAATGAAGTGTGACCACAAAGTCAGCTGACTCTTGAGGCCATTTCCAAAGTTGGGATCCCAACATAACACATTTTGAGGACTGACAAGGACTAACAAGACCTCTCAAAGTTCTGACTTGATAGCATTTATTTAGATACATTGTGTGAGTGTGCATGTGTGTGTGTGGGGGGGGGTGAGTGATGGCGGTTATGGTTCATACGCTGTCTTTTATTCACAATCTGTGTTGGTCTTTTTTGCCTTCCCAGATGGAAAGACCTTCCGTACGTAGTATACGCATATCTTCAGTTATAAAGCATCCCAATTCGTGGTTTTAAATATTTTTTTATGTGCTCTGTCAACCCATCCAACCTATCATGGATTCGTTCAGTCACTCACTCAGTATTTATTGAATGTCTATGTGTGCAAAGCCCTTAAAAAAAATCAGAAACTGTGAAACCAGATGACAGCCATTCCTTCTGCGGCTCAGTCCGTAGGTGCTGGAAGCAGAGTGTTCAAGGATGAGGAAGCAGGAATTGGGTGCAGACTTCCTGGATGGCCAGGAAGAGAGGAACTGGGCTTGGAACAGACTGCACTTGGATGTTTCAACCAAAGCGCTCTGGGAAGAGTAATTACCTGCAAGATTTTTTAAAAGACCAAAGAGAATAGATCAGCTCTTCTCTGGACTGATGTTTTACTTTTGGGGGTAAACCCAGTGCCCTGGAAAATCTTCGTGTCTGTTTTAGAATTAGTCATGTTACCCCAAGACACCAGACCTGAGCTTATCTTTTCCTCATGAGCAGTAGGAAGAAGCATAAGAGATGGGGGTGGACCATGCTCTATGGTAGCAGTTCCAGGAATGGGTTCGGGGATCCCACTGTTCCATCATACAGCTGCATTCAGGGGTGAAGGGGTAAAGCCTTATTTCTGAAAGTGTAGTTCTCAGCGCACTAATATAAGAAATCACCTGGGATTTTTTTCTGCTAAATGGAGATTCCTGGGCCCTTCCCAGACGTCCTAAATCAGACCTCCTAAATCAGCCAAGGAACATGCATTTTTAAGCAACCTCTCCCCCAGGTGATTCTTGAAAGTTTGAGCAGCCTAGGTGGAAAGGCTGTGGGCTAACGTGAATCTGAGACTAGCTGTCTTTATGAGCTCCAGGCTCGTGGCGTGCAGTTGCACTCTGAGTCCAGAGCTTCAGGTGATGTCTGCTGGTGAGGCGTGCTGGTCCGTGCTGGGCTCCAATAAACTCACTGTGGGAGCCACTTCCCCATGGGCCACACTGACTGACCAGAGACAAAGCACCTCAGAACCTCGTTCCACTAAGAACACTAAGAATAGTGGAGTCGGGCTACATCACCTTTGTGTGCGTGTGTTTGCGGCTGTGGGTCTATTTATCTCTAGACCTGGATACACACGTATTGTTGTCTCTACCATTGACAGGTACAGCCCTCCCCTGACCTTCCGCCCCCACCCCCAAATCCTCCCTTCCTTCCAGTCCCACCTCTCAGGAGGCTAGGGCTCTGCGGTCTTGGCACTCATCTGCAGCTGGGGTCCTGCAAGTCATGGTCAACCCTTAAAAATTAAATAAGAAAATCTTCACTGAGCCGGGCATTATGCTAGACACCCATATGCATTGTCTCATTTGATCCTCAGAACGGCTCAGTGAGGTAGGTACTATTTCCCCCATCTTACAAAGGAGGAAACTAAGGCTCAGCAAAGTGAATTTACTCAAGTTCCCATAGCTAGTCAGCGGCAGGTCTGGATTTGACCTCCGATCGTTCCTCGGTCACTGTCCACAGTCCCCGTGGAGGACAGTCCAGACCTGATCTGCTCTCTGCAAGTCACCCGCAGCTCATCCTTTACTTCTAGAGCAGGCACTGGCAAGCCACAGCCCCGTGGGTCAAATCAAGGTCAAATCAATCAGAGCTTGTCGTTATTTTAATTGAGGTGAAATTCACATAAAATAAAATGGACCATTTTAAGCACCACCTGTTTTTCAAAATACAGTTTTGCTGGAACGCAGCCATGCCCACTGGGTCACGTACTGTCTATGGCCACCTTCTCACCACAGTAGCGCGGGTGAGCAGTTGTGGCAGATGCCATACGGCCCACAAAGCCTCAAATACTGGCCCTCTGGCCCTTTATGGGAAAAGTTTCCTGGTCCCTGCTTTTGAGAGTTTTGGCCTGGATCCACGCCCTTGGGAATGAGTTTTCTCAGACATCTGCGATGCCCTTCCTTCCTAAAGGTAAACTCTCCTGCTCTGTTGGAAGCCATGCTTTTGTGTCTCGTGGACCTAGCTCCTCAGCTACCCCCTTTCCTCCTTATTCCTCCTGTTTCCACCACCCACAGGTCAGTCCTGGCAAACACATGCCTGTGCCTGATCTGCTCAGTGCCATCCCTTTTTCCTTCTTTTGTGCCAAATAACTAGTATATAAGGTTTACCCCTGGATATCTCACCTTCTCTCCTTATACTTTCCCTCCTCACCTTCCACCATCCAGCTTCCAGCTTCTGCCCTTCTGTTAGCCTTTTGAATACATCTCCATGTGGAGGTCTTGGAGTCCCATGAAATTCATATAGTCTACCTGGCATCCCATCCTTGCTAAGACCGTGTCATCCTGCTGTCTCAAATTAGTTTGTCTTTCTCTCTCTCTCCCTCTCCTTACATCTGTTCTGTTAACAAATTCTGCTGCCTTTTTTGGAAATGTCTCTTGGGTTTCTCTCTTCCTCATCCCCACCAATTCCTTGGTCCAGCCCTTCGTCACTTCACATCTGGATCACTACAGAGGCTCCTGACTGGTGTCCCTACCTCCCCCTTCTCTAGCTCGTCTTTCAAATTCCAGGAGCTCAAGTAGAGTCAGGTGCTTGGGGTTTGCCTTTGCCATTCTTTCCAGAGTCCTCTCCCACACTCCCTGTGTCATACTGAACACGGCGTCTCCATGGCACTCGGCATCTGTGTCACACTTTCTTCCTCAATGTTCTTAGAGGACTTGCTTCATGCTTTTGTAAAATAACTTGTTATACTTATTTGTGGATCTGCATTTTCTCCTAATCCGCTGGCTAGGCAAGGGCAGGGACTATGTATCTTCCTCATCTCTGTGTACCCAGAGTCTAGCATGGGTACAGAGCAAGTGCTCAATAAATGCTTCTTGAGCCACCATTTTGATCACATCCCTCTACTGCTGAAAGTTCACACTCAGTCTCTGTTTCCGCCACATGAAGTTTACGGCAGTGGTTTTTTTTTTTTTATTCTTATGTTAATCCCCATACATTACATCATTAGTTTTAGATGAAGTGTTCCATGATTCATTGTTTGTGCATAACACCCAGTGCTCCATGCAGAATGTGCCCTCCTCAATACCCACCACCAGGCTAACCCATCTTCCCACCCCCCTCCCCTCTAGAACCCTCAGTTTGTTTTTCAGAGTCCATCGTCTCCCATGGTTCGTCTACCCCTCCGATTTCCCCTGCTTCATTCTTCCCCTCCTGCTACCTTCTTCTTCTTTTTTTTTTTCTTAACATATATTGCATTATTTGTTTCAGAGGTACAGATCTGAGATTCAACAGTCTTGCACAATTCACAGCGCTTACCAGAGCACATACCCTCCCCAGTGTCTTATCACCCAGTCACCCCATCCCTCCCACCCCACCCCCAACTCCAGCAACCCTCAGTTTGTTTCCTGCGATTAAGAATTCCTCATATCAGTGAGATCACGGCAGTGGTTTTCTACCCCGGATGTGCATTAGAATCACTTGGGAGCTTTTGAAGACTACCGATGCCCGGCCCTACAGAGAAATCCTGATTAGGTACATAGGTTCTAGGCACTGACATTTTGTAAAAACTTCCCTGGCAATTCTCCTATCTGGCCAGGATTGAGAACCACCGGTCTGAGGCCTAGTTTTCAAGATTCCCATCCATTTCTCCATCCACACAGGAGTTCCCGCTCAGAACCTTCTCACACCTTTGGCCTCTTCCCAAATCGCCCTCTCTCTCATGCAGACCACCCGTCTGTCCTCACCCAGGGCAGGGACCCTGTGGGCGTGCATCCCAGAGCACCGAGCAGAGCCAGGAGTGTGGGGGAGCCCCCTCAGGGAGCGAGCCTCAGAGCACAGGCTCTGTCTGGGTTGGGTGGGGAGGAAGAACTGGGTGGGACTTACAGCAGGTGCCTCGGCCACCTCCCACCGCTGTGTGGACCGCACCAGCTTCCCCACGCCAACAATGACCCCATGGCATGGTGGCCGAGAGCACAGGGCTTTAGATAGGCTCTGCTCGTCAGCAGACTTGTAGCCCTATTTCCTGTCCCACATTCTTTTCCAATTCTCTTCTTACAAAGTGGGGACAAGACAGGGGAGCGGACGGGGCACCGGGCTGGTGTGTGCAGATGAGTTCCGTGAGGCCTTCTGCGTGTCTTCCATGGGCCTGTGGCTCAGGCCCCTGCGGCTCAGTCAGAGAGGTTTTTATTTCTCCTCAAGACGAGGAGCCCTCAGCTGCCAGGGCTACTTAGAACGAGCAAACGATGTCACAGGCCACGTGTTTCCACTTGCTCCGGTGAAGCAAAGACCTTTGGAAACAGGACATCTTGAGACATTTATTATCTTCTACCTACTACTTACTATCTTTGAGACATTTACTTATCTCTTATTGTCCACAGTGGGTCAGAGATTAGAGAGATCTTTTATCTCGTGAAAGTCACGGGTTCAAATGTTCCTTTTTTCCCAAATTTTAGAAACAGATAAATCAAGAGACTCATAAGGTAACTGTTATTTGGTTTAACCCATCCCAAAAGAAGTCAGGATGGCAGTGACCCACGGGGGCAGAGAGTGGAAGGGAATGCGGGTGTCTTTCCCTCTGAGTGCTGAGTACACAGACGTCCAATGAGTGAAGTTCCTGGAGCTCTGCAGGACACGTTTATGGCATGCCGCAGGTGCACTTTTTTCTATGTACGTCACATTTTAATAAAAAGTTTCAAATAGTTGCTCATGCTCTTGGGAGGAATTCAGACAACACCGGGAAGCACACATATTCTTCAACCAATTTTAAAAATAAAACCCAGGGAATGTAAAAGTTGATTCCACAAATATTTTTTTAAATGCCTTTAGTTCTATGTAACAGTTTGTTAAAGAGAAGAAACAGAAAAGAGAAGGAGAGAAACATTGGGCATGAGTTGATTGGAAGAAAGCCATACAAAGAGAAAAAAAAAACCGAAAGCCTGATGGAGAAGTAGAGAAATGGATGGGCTGGGAGGCACTCAGGGATGTCAAGTGAGACGTGAAGAAAAGTAGAGAAGGAAAGAAGCAGAAACAGCCCCATGGAGGAGACATCTGTGAACAGAAAGCAACAGAGAAAGACCCCCCAAAATGGGGGGAGGGTACCAGGGGTTAGAGAGGAAGGTGAAAACCCCCAGCCTCACAGAGCGAGGCAAAGAGGAGCAGAAAGAGGGAAGGGGGGAGTCCAGCCAAGAGGGGGAGGTAAAGGTGTGGATGTTGAACCTGGTCGCCAGCCAGACCATGGACTGTGGCAGCTTGTTAAAAAGCAAGGAGCTTGGCAATCACATGAAGAAGGACATTGCCTCCCCAGTGCCTCTGGCTCAGGGCCCAGCACATGGGACGTGCTCATCCAATAGGTGTCAACTT